GAGGATGTTCCGTGCATCAGCTGCAGGATGTTTGCAACCAATGTTGCAACAAATGTATCGGACCCAGGATGTTTTATCACTAGTCTACTAAACCACCTCCATATGCTGAGATACTGTGTCAGCCTTGCAAAAACACATCCAGAGAGTGTGCCTTGCACCAGCCTCTCCTTTAAAGCTCTGGAAGGTGGTTTTGGTCTCCAGCAGAGGTGCCCAGAACACTCACACACATTCAGAACCCAGCCCTCACTTTCTCTCCAGCCGCCTATGCTCTTAATCCTTGGGGAAGAGACTCACTCAGCCTCACCTTCCATATCAGAAGCAGAGCCTTTGCTCTGCATACCTCTCCCAGGAGATGCAGAGTGCCCTTCCCAGACTCCACAGACCCAGACCACCTGCCCAACAGCTAGGGTGCAGGTCTACACTGCCCATTCCTTCGAGGGCTCTCCATTTGGCTGGAGACCATGCTCCTGGGACAACAGAGAGAGTGAGGAATGAGGAGTGAGGAGCGAGAGAGCAAGGTGGGTGGGGGGCTGCAGGCCTCAGGGGGATACATGGGGGATACAAGGGGTGAGGGGGGATCCTGACCAGGCTGGGACATGTGTAACTTTATACAGCTCCACGTCTTTCTTTGCCCCATCCTGTGGCTTCCTACTGCCTTCATGGAGGTTGGTTTCTAACAAAAATATTTCACCGCAAACGGTATCTCAGCTGTTTCTAGACAAGCCAGCCTGCCCCACTTTCTCTCATCCATCTCTTATCCAAATTATATTACTTCCCCACTGTATCTTAAACCCATCCCCTCCTTTCCATCACTCTGCTTTTGCCTTCTTTCAAGATCTCGTCATTTTTCACCTGTACCGTTATCTACTACCCTCTCAAACTCCCCAGAGCTGTCCCACATCACTGTCAAAGTGCAAAACTGACTGTGTCACCCTCTCAAGCCCCTGCAGGCCTCCCCGTGCATCTCCAGGAGGTTATACATTATTCCTGGACCCTCCTGGCCCAGCCCTTTTCGTGGTCTGGCTTCCCAACATTCCCACCAACCCAACAATCTACACAGGATTCCGGGAGCCGTTGAGTTGGCTCAGCCTTAAGCTGTTCCTCACACAGCATCTCCTCCTCAGAACTCTCCTCCTCTACCTGGAAGATCCCAGCAATCCGTCAATGACTCCACTGAAGTCACCCCTGACATCCACAGACCAAGCTCAGCACACGCCCCTCTGGATAGGTTTTGCATTAAAACATTTGCATAGCATTGTACTGGGTTATAATGCTAATTTTAGATTTTCTGTCTGTCTTGCTAGGATGAAACCTTCTAGGAGGCAAAGCCCTCCCCAGGGCCCAGCTCGTGGCCCATCCTTAGGAACGCATGGGCAGCCTCTAGAAGTAGGAAAAGGCCAGGAGAAGGACTCTCCCCAGGGCCTCCAAAAGAACGCAGCTCTGCCCACCCTTGGGCTTTATCCAATATGACTTTTTTTTAACTTGGAATTTTAATTGTGTACATAAATAGCAACATGAGAACAAGGGATTCTAAGGCTTGTACATTATCTCTAAGTGAAAGGATTTCTGATTAGTCACCTTGTGGTATGGCATCACCCAAGATAACAAAGAGGCCTAGTATAGTTTCTCTGAAGAAGCCAGTTTATTACATTCAGTACTGATTTTTCTGCCATTTCTCTGAAGAAATACTGGCTTATTATATGGAGTTTCCAATGTTTACCTACAACTGATTAAAATGGTCAGAACATGGAGCATTCTACTTATTTCCCAGTGAATTCTTCACATTTCCTGGCTTTTGAAAGTTCTTCCACAAATCTTCTATGACTATGTGTCCTCATAAACCCCATAAACCCCAGTCACATAATTTCTCCCCACTGACCTGGACAAATACGATGGCTTGTTGTGGATAATACAGAGAGGCAGCTAATCCCATGAAACCAGATGGATATAGCAGCTTCTTTATTTTTGAACCTCTAGCCAAAAGAAGTCCAATAATGCCAGCAAAACCAATAACACCAAGTCTTAGAAAAAGAATTCAGGAGGTGCATTTTGGAGATATTCATAGCTGTCTAATCCCCACTAAACCAAACTCGGCATCTTGGGCTCAGTTTGGGAATATATTTCTTAACACCAACTTGTATATGGCTGGTAACACTGTCGGAGATGTGAGATGCTTTCTTCAAGTTGAGTCCTGGGCTCCTCCACATATTTAGATTGACCCTTGGGAACGGGGTAGCATGAAAGCTCATTAATCCTCACAGAAGTTTAGTGAGGTGAATTCTTTTTCTGTGATGCATAGGCTTTGAAGGTGAGCAGACTCAGGCTGGCCTGCCCCACAGATCTCTGAATTACCTTGAGCACGGCGCTGGCAATGGCGGCTTCATCCCATGTGACTTCTGACATACAGCACTGGGAGGTAATAACATTTGTGTCATTTGAAACCACTGATTTTGAGGGCACAGCAGCAACAGAAAACCAGTACATATTTAAATTAATAGATTTAAAAAGTAAAACCACAATATTCTGGAAAGGCTAAAGGACCCAGGCTGCCTGGCTTTTTTGAGTCTTAAGGCTGACTTTATAATTTCTTTTTCTCTGTTTTCTTTTATGCTGCCAAACTATGAAAATTGTATCTATCATCCATCTCTGCATTGTCACAGAGATGATAAACCAGATACTTGGGCTTTGGGGATAGCGTCTAAAATAAGCAGAAACACTCCTGAGGTCCCCAAGGCTGTCCTGGGAGTGAAGGGCATGGGTTCCTGGGCTGGAAGCTTCTCTTTTGGTGCTGAGCTGCCTTTGGGGTTTCTTTCTGCTTTTCTTCTACATTCCAAAGCTCTGATGCCATCTTCTTGTAAGTGAGGTTTCACTGTACTATTGTGCTCTTGGACTATTAATCACCCTCTTTGATTATATATCTCCTTACATGTAGTAAATTTATATTGCTATTTATATTTTAAAATGGCCATTTTCCCTCCATTTACCAAGGTACAATAAAAAATAAATCTGTTGGCTAAAGGGTTAATGGTGTAGCTTTGGGTTTATTTATTTATTTTCTTTGTGGAGACTCAGACGAGCAGGTGCGTTCTATATTCCTTTCACAAAAAGAATCCAGGACGAGGTACCTAAGTTTTGAATGTGCCTTCACTGTACATTCATAATAAATTCTGAACCGAATGGCACATTCACGGTTGCTCCCTGATGTAAATGAATGGCTGAATGAAAATTTGGGGGCACAGCCCACCTCCAAGAGGGCAATCCTGTTTACATTCTTACCTGACGTACTGTTCTTGATTTTCCTTGAAAAACTGGTTTTTCCTCTCTCCACAACGGCGGTCCCTTCCTCCCTGCTTCTTTGTAATCAGGCTAGCTTTTTTTTTTTTTTTTCCCCACACACTGCCGTTGGATGAAAGATCCCGCCTTTGATTGAAATGGAACCTTCCACTATTGAGCAGGCCTTTGCTGAATGAGTCATCGGGGCTGCTGCTCATTGGCTGAGGCCGCTAGAACCAGGGGATTGCCTGGCGCCCGCTGCAAGGACCTGCTTCATTCACAGAAACTCTGGCTCGCTAGCTAGCCCTTTCATTCACACAAACAGCTTTCATTCACATTTTGCTGTTTTTGTCTGTTTCTAATGAAGACCACGGTTTGGGAATGATAGGATATTCTCGCTTTAGATTTGGGGGCGGGGGGGGGCTTTGATAACCACCCCAATCATCTATGGGGTGTGCATTTGCTGTTGCTATGCAAGCAAGGGGAAGGGAAAAGATGAGAGCTGTGCGCCTGCCCTGTTAGGCCTGCGGCCTTGAGCTGGGAGCCGCTGCTCGCCTGCACTACTGCGTCCAGCAGTCCGCCCGCTGTGACTGGCACTGGTGACAGTTGCTCCATAGAGCTCTTCAACGCTGGGTGCCTCATGTGTCACATGTCTAGTGGTGGGTGTGAGAAGTCTCAGGGTGACCTGATAACGTGCTAGAGGTAAATGCATTTGCTTGCACAGAGGTAGCCGGAAACTTGGACAGGGAGCATTTCACTGTGTCTGACAGGCTATTTCAATGACCGAGGAAGACAGCAGAGCCCACAGTGAGAGGGGTTGTGGGTTTGAGCCCTGCATACCTCCAGGGGGCCACTAAAATGCCCTGTTCTCCTGAGAGGGAGGCCTGTGCGGTTCTCTTGCAGCCTGAGTTCGATTCCTGAAAAAAAAAAAAAAAGGGGCATTTTCCTGCGGATTTGATGTGTAAGGAGAGCAGCTGCATTTTTTCTCTTCCTTACTGCAGGGCTGCAAGCCACAACTGAAGGAACATTGACATGTATTTGTAGTGTTTCTTAGGCATTTTTCCAGAGCTTGAACACATTCAGTTGGAATAAAGCTTCAAGCACAGACCCTTTTTTTGGAATGGATTTCTGGAGCCTGATGCCATTCATCAAAGAAGCACTCTTCGTCTTTTTTTTTGGGAAGTAGGTTTTCAACTTAACCCTGGCTGAGAAAGTCTGCTGTAAATTAGCAGGGGAGAGACCCTTACTGGCTCTGTGCAGAAGTTCATATGTAAATTTTTTGTTTGTTTTGGAGGAACTGTATTGCCACAAAGACATTTGTCATGGCCGCTCTGTTGATTTGAAAAGAAAAATCCAGGAAAGTGGTACTTTTCTCTTCACCTGGGATTGAATATCCCCTCTCCCCACCCCACCCCACCCCCCTTTTTTTTGCTATGTAACATTTATGCTTGCCTTCCAAATCAGAATTCATGAGGATCTGCTGAAGATCTTATTCTTAAAAAGACTTCGTCACATTTTAACGCATCGCTGTCAGACGCTTACAGGCACACACAGATGGGCTGATGGGGAAGAGAAAACCCTAGCATAGAATAATGGGTTTCAAAAAGTTCATCTGATCATTTGAAAAAAACTAGATTTACTTTTGGCACAAATGCTGAGGGAGGAGGATGGGGAGGTGAAAAATCAAAGGTTGGAAGGAAATATCTGGGAAGGTAGAAAAAGGAAATTTGAGAATTGATTGGCTCTAGTGTGCCGTTAGTGGGTGTATGTGGTTTTCTTTTTTTCTTTTTTTTTTTTTTGCTACAGGAAGTGATTTGCAGTGTTCACCGAGCCTTTGTTGAGAAGGGTCTCCTCTCGGAGTGAGTCATGCTTTTGCTGTGAACGGCTCCAAGCAGCTGGGCGCTCATCAGAGGAAACTATGACTTTTGAAAAGCCAGCGTGCCGCCCTAAGAAGCCGCGTGCGGGGCTGGGGCTACGCGGCCACGGCGGCTCCGGGTGTTAGGGGTGGGAAGCCTGCGCTCCCGCCAGCGCCCCCGACCCCGCCGCCGTCCCGGCCGCTGCGTCCGCCCCGGGAACAGCGGCTCGCCTGCTATGCGTGGCAGCCCGCGCCCGCGCCCGCACCTGCAGCGCCCGGGCGGATGCGGCGAGCCCACTGAGGGGCATGCTTCCACGCACCAAGTACAACCGTTTCAGGAATGACTCGGTGACATCGGTCGATGACCTTCTGCACAACCTGTCGGTGAGCAGCGGAGGCAAGGTCTCGGCGACGCGCGCGGCCCCGGCGGCGGCCCCCTACCTGGTGTCTGGAGACGCGTTGCGCAAGGCGCCCGACGATGGCCCGGGCAGCCTGGGCCACCTGCTCCACAAGGTGTCCCACCTAAAACTCTCCAGCTCGGGCCTCCGCGGCCTGTCGGCGGCCAGGGAGCGGGCGGGCGCGCGGCTCTCGGGCAGCTGCAGCGCGCCCAGCCTGGCAGCCCCGGACGGCAGCTCGTCCCCCGGCCCCCGCGCCCCGGCCATGCGCGCCGCCAGGAAGGGCCGGTCCAGCGACGAGCCGCCGCCCCGCGCGTCCCCCGCCAGCGAGCAGGTGCTGGGGGCCGGAGTCACCTACGTCGTCAAGGTGGGTGCAGGCGCGGGCAGCGGGGTGGGGAAGCCCGGGTGCAGGGGCGTCCGCCACGCTTGGTAGTCTTGGAGGCCAGGAGGTGCGCACTGCTTCGCAGCCGGCTTGCCTGGCAGCGGGGACGGGACACCACCAACGCTCCCGTTGCGCATCCATTGGGAGAGGGTTTAAAAACGGTGACCTCACTGTCCTGGTTTGCCTTGGCCCCACTCCTTTGGCATGCCTTTACCACTTGGCTTTGCCATGTGTCCGCCCTGTGCTCCTCCGGCATGGGCCCCTATCCCTGGGAACTGTACTTCAGGCCTACCTAGGCACAGTGAACACACTTGGAAGAACTGGGCAGCCCCTGCGATGAGAAATGCAGATGGTGCCATTACTTCTGCTGTGTTTGCCCCAGGAGGCAAGGTGGATGGTTTCCTTCCCTCCACAGCAAGAATTTCCAGCTCCTGGCCATGCAGGCCAAATGCTGTCTTGCTTTATGTAAGACAAGCTGTACTTTCTTACCCATCAAGGTTTTCCTTGGTGTCTGCCTTTCACCCCTACCTAAAGGTTTTGGTTTACAGCTGCAGGAGAAGAATTTGGGACTGTTTTCCCCTAGGGACTGTAGTCTTTCATTTAAGCAGGTTGAAAGGGACTGAGCTTGTGGCATCTGGAGCCACAGCCTGAAAAGGAGATTTTTCCTCCAACACAAAACATTATAAAATCACGCCTGATATGGTCTATAAAATTCCTCCCTTAGGCAAGTATTTTGTGATCTTTAAGGAATAAATACCCAGCACTGACCAACTGGCCAGCCCACACTTCTGCCTTTAGAGAGCAGGGAGCTATCACAGTGCTGGATCTACAGCTGGGAAACATCCCAGACTGGGAGACGGGGTCAGAGGTGCATTCAGTCTGGTCACCCCAAGGCATGGCATTTTATTTAAGAAAAACAATAAGACAAATCTATCCCCATGGTGTTGTCAGCAGTTGAGAAACCTGCAGGATACCTGTTCTCTACGTACTAGCTACAGATCCAGTTTAAAAATTCAACAGACGACATTCTCAGGTAAAATGTTGTATCTGGGTGATTTTGGAATCAAAACATTAAGGGAAACAGTTAACTTTGTAGATTATCTCTAACTATCTAAGAAGTACTGACAAAGGAATGTAATCATCAGTGTTAAACATTGAGCCCCAAAGGCTGCTTCGTCTTAGCCTCTGAAAATTGATTAATGTATTTCACAAAAGGAATGTAAATATGCACACCTGGTTGAGTTTATTATAAAAGAAGGTGAATATTCTTTCTGTATCCTTTCTTTAATATATATAAGCAGGAGCCAAAAACAAAAAGACAAAAACAAACAAAAACTCCCGACAACTTTGAGGTTAAACAGTGACACCAGCATGTATCACGTCCAGTGTATTAGTATAATTGCTATCTATCTATCTATCTATCATCTATCTATCTATAAATAAATAAATGCCTATGTTTAAAATAGACAAATCAACCTTGGCAAAGCTTTCTACACCTGCCATGTTGAACGTAGAGGATAGTTTTCAAATGTAGGGGGAATTGTCCTACTGTTGCCTTCATTTACTTATTTGTTTTTAGCTTCGGGTTTACAAAACAACATAATGATTAGACATTAACACCCCTCACAAGATGATGAACCCCCTCCTAGTCTACTTACTACCCCTCTGACATCATATATAATTGTTATGAAACCATTGACTATATTCCCCTGCTATACTTTACATTTCATGACTTTTATATATATATATATATAATTTATATATTATTTAATTATATATATATAATTGTAGTTGATATTCAATATTACTTACTCTACATCAGGTTCAGGTGTACAGCACAGTGTCAGGTATCTACTTTTGCCTTTAAAGTTTTACTTAAAAAAATCATTCACTTGGCTTAGTGCTTTGCTCTTGCCTTTTGAAGAATGAAGGCAGACATCCAGCTTGGTTATGGCTGAGTAATGATGAACCACTAAAGCAAGTCTGCCCTGCTGGGCCATTCTGCTGGTGTAAGGTTGTGACACACAGAAGCAACTACTCAAACAGGCGTAGCGCTGAGTCTGCCCAGGGCCTTTTGGGGCTAAGAGTCACTTTGTCATGCCTCAACTAAAGGGTTGCCGTGACCTGGGGTGCATAGCATGGCTCGGTAGTGCCCGGTGCCATTGCCTGGTCCATCCTCAGGGTTGAACAATAGAATAATGTGAACAAAAGCTCAGGCTGCACCAGAGAAATCTGAAATCACACAGAAAGACCAGATGCTACAGGACAATTTCTCATGCACACATGTTTGGTTCACATGATCACGTGGCCCTCTGTTGGTGTACATTTCCACATCACGCATATTGAGTTTAAAACCATGAACATATTTCCTTGGAAAAAATCTCAAAACTGGAAAAAAATCTTAATTTAGTCTTTTTGCTGATTTATGAGTAGTTTTATTGCTATCGTTGCTTTTAAAGACCTCTGGTAGATAGAAAGGGGCAATCTTTTAACATCATTTTACATCACTTGTAAAATCTGAAGGCCTAGGGTTTGGGAAAGAACTTATTATTATTCTCTTTGATTTAAATCTATTTCTAAATTAAGGAACCCCCAAAATGTTTTCCCATCTCCTGGAAAATCATATGATCTATAATTAGAGATTTCCCTCCTCATAGAAATACCTACCTACAGACAATATTAGGATATTGCACACACATTTATTATTCAAAAATATTTCAACTTAATCCAATTACATGAAAGTGGAAACCTTAAAATACAGAAGTCTGGTGGGTTTTGCTTATCTAGAAAATGTCTATGTATTTGAACAGCAGGTTGCAATATTAATTAATGACAGATATGAAATTTTAAAATGGACAATTTACTGAGCAGCTGTAGCATTCAAAGCACAGTGCATGTTTGTTGTCCTTCATGCCATCACTTGAGTCTGTGGCTGACGACAGCGTGAGGTTATGCAAATGAGGAAGGTGGACACACGCAGCCGTTAGGTTTGCATTGATGTCCAGAGGCTTCATTGCAGGACCTTTGTACCCACCCCCAAGTATGCTTGACACTTCGCTTTTTCTTTTGGCGACGTGAAAGGAAATGAACAAGAAAATATTTCCTTGATAGACAGAAAAGGAAAATTCAGCAACAAACAACAATGAATATTTTTATTAAAATTTTATTTTGGAACATTTTAAATTTTTACTTGAAAGGCCTATAGAAATACAAAGTATTGATCATGCTGTTGCCCATCTTCAAATTCTATTGCCTAAGAGTCCAAGCTGGCTAGGACCCCAAGTGCCCATGGGGGCTGCTGCTGGTCTTCAGAGGGTTCCAAAGGTAATATTCAGGTACACTACCACACACACACACACACACACACACACACACACACACACACAGACAACTTGTGATGATTTCAAACAGTGATTATTTTTTTTCTTGTTAGGAAAGAGTAAATGTCATATTTTCAGAAATACCTGATTATATCACCCATGTCTTTTATATTCATGTTTAAGAGAAAATAATTCTGAAAGATAAGTGACTGATGAAACTTTAATCCTATAAAGAGTAACTTCTTGTTCCTCTCCCTCCCCACTGTATTATCTTTGAGCATATGTCATATTTTGGTGGAAGATACGATAAATATCTCTTAAGCAAGTCCTGGTAATGGAAAACCTGGGTACCAGGTGCCTAGAAGGAGAGGACCAGTGGCTGCTTTTCTTGGTGAGCTGGCTTTTTCTTGCCTCTTCTCATTTCTGTATGGCCGGTACCGCTGGCTGGGATCAGATCAGCATCTGCGCTTGCCCAGGCAGCTGGCAGCAGCTTAGTGCATCTGTCTGTGGAGTCTTTGGCCCTTGGATTCTGGGCTCAGCCTGGCCTTCCTGCTGCATAACTGGTCTGGCAAGTTCTACCGTCTTCCAGCGGTGCCCTGGGTTTCTAGCCATGATCCCAGGCTCCTGGGGAAGTGTAGGGAATCCTAGAAGCCAGAAGGAGAACCACGGAGAAGGAAAACCTGAGGGGTGGCACAGGGCCCCACCTTGCTATTCTGTCCTGATGCCCCAGCAGTATTGGATTATGTGAAGTCCTCAAAGCCAAGGCTTTCTGAGAAAAATGTCCAGAGCTCGTTATTATAACGCTGCTCACTTTAGACTTGAAGCCATCCTGGTGTGCCATCTGAATGTGCTGTTTCCCTAAAGGGAAAGCCCCTCAAGTGAGCCTTTTCTCACTTCCGTCTATTGCATAGGCAGAAGAAGAAGTAAAGAGTTCATTTAAACGTTATTTTATCAAATTTCATCCACTCTAATTGTTTGGCAGTCTAGACTACGAACGACGTGTTTAATACTATTGTTTTTTACTTTGCAAATATTAAACATTGCTAATGCCACTTGCCCAAATAGAAGCCTTCTGTTCAAAAAAATGTAAAAATTACAACATGATTCTCACTCTGTTGAGGAAGAACAGGCCCTTCCGTTGGTGTTCAGCAGAAATACCACATAACGGGGGCCTCTGATGTGTTCCCCCAAAGAAGGAGTAACAGAAAGCTTTCACCTCTTGGGCTAACGCAATGAAAACACGACTGTTTTTAGTGTTTTTGTGTGGAAGAGCCAGCCACCCCCAATGACAGATCGCCCCTCCTGGAGATGGACTCAGTGTGTGCTCACTTCTGGGAACACTGGCCATGCCATGCTGCACCCTGAAGAGCCTTTACCTCCTAGGATTTGGCACATCCCCTCTCACTTCCTTTCCCTCTGGCCTCAGCTTCGATGCTCTGAGCTTCCCCAGCAGAGAGCTGCTGCTCAATCTGTGTCCTTACAGCCCACTCAGTGGGAGAAGAGCCTGCCCCAAGGTGTCCTGAAAGGAGGGTGTGCGGGTGAACAGGCGTTCGTCCCCAATACTGAATTATTTCTATAAGGCGGGAATGATGAGAGGAACGACATCAGGAGGCTGGGGCCCACGTCAGATGGGCCCTGAGGCCTCCAGAGAAACATCCCCTGACT